AGGGAGGCCATGCACCGGGGAACCGAGGGCAGGGGAGCATGGAGAAAGGTCAGCGGGTAGAATGAGCCGAGCGGAAGGCCATGTGACAGCAAGGGGGGGGGGGGGGGGGGGGGGGGGGAGAGGACCCCCAAAGCAACAGGCAAGCGAGGACGCACTACGACAGGTAGTACCGGTGACCTCGCTCCACAGTCCGGAGGCGAGGCAGAAGCGCTGCGGTGAGCCGAAGGCCCCATCGACGCAGATCCCCTGCACCGGGGTTGGCGAAGGCATGGACTCGGGCCAGACGGCATTGTCCTCTTCAATGCGAGGGCAGGCCATTGCTACAGAGAGAGAGAGGGACGAAGAGCGGCAAGGGTCAGTCAGAGAGCCAGTCAAGACACAGGAGGCAGCTTGGCCGAGAGAAGCGACAGAAAGGGAGGGGGGAGGAGGGAGGCGGGGAGACGCACTCTCACACTTCCCCTGAGGGGGGCCCCACACGGAGTTGCTTTGGCAGACACGCGTCGGTGGCATCGGGGCCCCGGTGTTCCGGTTGATGGGGTACCGGTAGCCCGGGGCGCAGGCGGCCACGGCGATGCCGCCCACTTGCATCTCGTTCCAGCCGGTGGCCTCCACGTCGCTGGTGGGGGCGGAGGCTGGCGACTGCCGGCGGCAGTAGTCCGCGTAAACCTCTGCATAAATTGACGGGCAACAGGCAGATGAGAGAGGAAGGGGAGCGGCGGGGGCGGGGGGAAAAAAAACCCCCCCCCCCCCCCCCCCCAAAGAGCACACTATCTGTCAGGAGACTGGCGGCGAAAGAACTGGCGCAGGAGCAGGCCACAAAGAAGATGACCATGGTGGGATGCGACGCACGCCCATTGTGGATAAGGCACTGGCCGGTGGATGAGCAGAGGGAGCAGCCATTTGGGCAGGGCGCGCAATCGATCGCCGGTCCCTGGGAGAACTGCCCCTGCGGACAGAAAACCACACAGGTGCCCCCCTGCAGCGCGCGGCCCGAGTCACACTCGGTGCACTGGTTGGCCAGCGGGCCGAAGCACGCGCGGCAGGACGAATGGCACGGCTGGCAGGCGGCCGCCGCATTGGCCAGGCTCTCCTCGGACAGGCGGACCCCAAGCAGGGACACATCCACCGGGCTCAGGCCCCCGGCCGGGGTTTGGATGGTCATCGGATCCACCGGCAGGGGGCAGGTAACGACCGGGGAGCCATAATACCCGGTGGCGCAGGTCCCGGTCACCGTGGCCCCGCTATGCAGGAGGGCCGGCGAGAAGATGGCCGGGTTGTTGGGCTGCGGCTGCCAGGCACAGAAGACATCTGGCGGTCGGATTGACGGGTGGCATGGATTCCCGGTGAGGTTAGGCCGTTAGCGGGGGATGGGGAAACGGGAGCCAGGCAAGAGAGAGGCAGAGAGAAAGGCGAAGGGAGGGGCAGAGAGAGAGGGGCAGAGAGAGAGAGGGGCAGAGAGAGAGGGGCAGAGAGAGAGGGGCAGAGAGAGAGAGGTAGAGAGGGAAGAAGGGAGAGTCAGACACAAAGAGCAGGGGGAGGGGGGGGGGGGGGCTACGTACGGTCACAGGTGACCGGAGTCAGGTTGGTCCAAGTGATGTTCGGCTCGCAGCGGTAGGACAGGACCGCCGGCCGGTAGCCCTGGCTCATGGGACACACCTGGGAGACGACCTGCCCAGGTGTGGCGGCAGGCCACTGCAGAGTGCCATCATGGAAGGGCGGGCAGAAGGGCACTACACGGGGGGGAGGGGGGGGGGGGGCGGAGGCGAGAATATCCCGAGTCGACAGTGGAACACGTACGGCGCACTGAGAGTGTGGCCAATTTCATGGCCCAGGGCTGGGGGCGAGGGACGTTGTCTTGAAGAACGCCTTGGTCTTTCACCAACGGCTGCGCAGGGGACTGGGGGGGGGGGGGGGGGGCGGGAGCCAGGAAAGGGAGGTGAGAGCAGGTGCGGGCAGGGGATATGGCGCATGCCAGGGCAGGAGGCCTGATCGGCCGACATGCCACGTACAGCTACACTCGGACGGGTGGCAGCTGGTCATCACCATGGACGGGTAGGGGCACTCGTGATAGTTGAAGGTGAACTCCTTCTTGCAGGTGTTGGTAGTCTGCAACAGGGTCAGCCCCTGGAGGTGGAGGGAGGCCGTGAATTCCGGCCGGTTCTGGTACTTGGAGATGGCCTGGAGCTTGGCCCCCGAGGGGTAGACCTTGTGCGGGGGCAAGAGGCCGGAGAAGATGCTCGTGGAGTAGACCAACTCCGGGGGATAGTCGGTCGGGAGGTTTTTCCCGGGGCTGGGCCAATTGCCCGAGGGGTAGATGTCGACGTCGAATGTCCGCAGCAGCGCCAGCGGCAAGTCCAGCTGGTAGGACGAGTCGAGCAGGCAAATCTTGTCGGTCTCCCTGGGCAGGGAGTACCGCATGAGCAGATCACTGCCGAGGAAGCAGGTGGTGCAATTGCAGGACATCTTGACGTCGCACGTGCGAATGGCTTTGGTGGTGGTCTTGGACACCGCGAAGGGGACACACCGGCTGCCGCCGGCTGGGACATCCGACCGCCAGGCCCCATCCAGGCCACACTGCAGCGTCGGCAGCCCGGTAAAGCCGGGCAGGCACTTGCCGGGGATCGTGGCCCCGGACAGCGGCAGGGCCGAGGCCTGCATGGCCTCCGGCGCAAAGAGCCCCGGCGCCGGGAAGACCGCATTGTCATGGATGAACTCCAGTGGGCAGGTGTTCTGCACGCAGCCGGGCCCGGTGGCGTCCTGCGACCAGGTGCCGTCCAGGAGACACCGGCGCACCGGGGCCCCGGACCAGCCGGGCTCGCAAACACCGGCCACCGGGTGCCCGGTCCAGGCGCCGGGGTTGCCGGCCGCCGCCGTGGGAACCAGGGCCGATGTGGCCGGGAAGGTGGCCTTGCCGACGGTGGTGGCCGGACAGGTGCGAGCCATGCACACCGGGGCAGTGGCATCGCCGGGGAATTGGCAGGTGGTACTGATCGGGCAGCGGAAGAAGCGCACGCGCAGGCGCGGCGCGCCGGCCACCGCCAGGAGATCCACATCCGGGCCGGTCAGCGCGGGGTCCGTCGAGGAGGGGAGCCCGGAGATCGGCACCGCCGGCGGAGGAGCCGGCATGTTGAACTCCAGGGCAGATCCGAGGGCGCTGGTTCCGGCGCCGGAGCCGGTGCCACTGCCCCCGCCGTTGGAGGCGATCATGCTGGCCAGATCGGAAGAGGTCAGCTCGATGTAGTTCCAGGGGAGGTTGTCGGTGGTGACGCCCTGGAGACGGATACCGAGCTGGTGGCCCAGGACCGGTCGAGGAGGGAAGGGAGACGTAGCGGGAGACGTGGAGAGAGGCGTAGAGGGAGGGGGAGGGGGAGGGAGGGAGACCCGGAGATGCGCAAATGCAGAATGGAGTGTCAGGGATGATCAGCCTAGAGCAGGGCAGGGTGGCGAGGGAGGGAGCACTGGCGTACGGCGTTCTCGCCGGACATGCTGGCCAGAGCCTCGGTGAAGGGCCGGGCGGGCAGGCGCAGGCGGACATCACGCCACTCGGGGGTGGCTGGATCGGCCAAGACCGGCGGCCGGGAGAAGGCACTCGACACGCGAGAGTTCGAGAGGACGGCATTCCCCAGAAGGGAGGAGATGCGCGAGTGGGTGAGGGTTTCCAGGACACTGTCGGCAGGGGTTAGACAGGGGGGGGGGGGGGGGGGAGGGCCGAAGAGGGGCGAGTGAGGCGAGTCCATGTCGGGGCACCGCGCGCACGTCAGACTGGGCGGGCTGAAGAGCTCCATGGAGAAGCTGGAGCGGCCGGCACTGCCAGGGGTGATGGCGCGGCCGAGAAGCCAGGCATCCGTCACACAGATTTGCTCTTCGGGGAAGGTGCGCTTTAGGGGTGTTGGACAGGGGGAAGGTCAGTTCAG